AACCTCATTCATTTTCAAAAGAAATCAGTAATGACCATGAATCTAAAAAATTTCACCGAAGGCCAGAGTAGAGATTCCATTAAATGGCTTGTAATTAAAAAAAAACAGTTATGATGAAATATTTTGAGGAATTCAAATTTTTATCTGTATATGAACGTGGATGGGTGGTACAAAAAGAGCCGATGATTTTGTATAGTAAATAATGGATCGATGATAAAATATATTTCGGTTGCTCTTATCGCTTCGATGTGATATCGTTTTCAATGAGACGTAAATGGCGACATGACAATACCATTCTGTTTGATAATGCAGAACCACAACTGAAGAATATTCGGGAGTTGTAAACATATTGATGCAAATGGCTCATTTGTTATCTGAGGATGAAATTACTCTGATCAATGTAACTTATATGATATCAATGTTTTTCATTTCCATCTCTCTTGTGAATTACAATCAGTCTATGAACATAGAAGAGAAGAGAAAAGTAGTTTTTCGGTGAGTGTCGTGATCTATACTTGTTCTACCATGAAAGTTAATCCGATCAACCTTATCCGACTTCTGATGGCAACATTTAAAGTTCTCAATCTTGCTGAAACACCCGTGAAAAACGAGGAACGTGAATTGGCAGACACGTTTGAAAGGATATTGATTCAATCACTGGAGGAATATAATGGAGTTGAAATGATCGAAGAAACATCCCTGGATTTTCAAGAGCCTTATAAAAATTAAAAAAATTTTTTCCTCTCGTATACCCTTTCGGGTCTTTACGATTTGTTCCCTTCTCAACCCCCTCAACCTCCTGTACCGCATTTGCCGAAGGGAGGGAAAACCTCATTCGAGGGAAAAACCTGCCCTGGTACAGTCGTCCTTTTGACGAGACTACCGCTCGGCAATGAAACTTTGAGATTAGAGCGCTATAAATTTTGACCGGCGGTGCCAGGAAGCGAACCCGGATCATTGGCATTCGAGTCTAGCACTCTAACTGCACGGCCATTACCGTCGGTAGAGCCTTATAAAGATATCGAAATGATAGCGGTCGAGGATAAAGAATTTCAACCACATACAGAAGAATCACCTGACAGTTGTTCGGAGGATGAGGAACCTGTAGATTTCGAATATAAAAAGAATGCCGTTGACTTCTGGAGAAGTGGAAAAAAGAAGAAGAATCTCTTTATAGAAACTGTTTCCCATCGATTCAGGAAGGTGAAATCGCGTAGACAGTTACGATGCTGGGCGAATCAAATCAATAAAGGAGGGACATACATGGAGAAGTTGAAACGCATTTCGGAGTACACATTGAAGAATATCTGGTATTCCATGTGAACTCACCCACGTCAAAACCCTCACCATCGCCAATCATATTGCCGATTTTTCCTGTGGTTGTATATGGAAAAATATGACTTCTCAAATTTTTTCAGATTTTTTGAGGCATCCTGTGGACAGCCATGCTTCTTTGCAAGTTTTATCTTTAAATGCCTGTAACTTCCGTAAAAATCACCGGTTTGAGTTTTTTTTTACAAAATGTGCGTCTTCGAACACACTTTTCATATAAAAATATGCCAATTTTTTTCAATTCGTTCTTCCATCGATTTCCTCAGAAATAACTCAAAAAACTTCAAAAAACGAGTCGTTTCCAAAGTTGGACCCTTCTTATATTTTTCAAAAAATTTCAATGAATATATTGGACCAAAACAAAATTTTTCACCAAAGGCCAAAGTGGGTTTTCCATTTCGTGACCGTCATTTCTAATTTGAATAGATGAATCTGGGATCAAAAATTTCAAAAATTTTAAAATTCTTTTCGAATTTGAACGCAGTAGCATTATTTGAACTTACCGCTTGAAGAATCACTGCATTATATTCGAATCTGGAACAATTTGATTATTTTTTGAAAATTCGTTAACAATAAATCTTTCCGAATGGTGTGTCCTAATAGAGATCCCACTTTGGCCTTTGTTGAAAAATTATATTTTGGTCCAATATATTCACTGAAATTTTTTGAAAAATATAAAAGGGGTCCAACTTTGGAAACGACTGGTTTTTTGAAATTTTTTGAGGTTTTTCTGTGGAAATCGATAGAAGAACGAATTGAAAAAAATTGATGTATTTTTATATGGAAAGTGTGTTCGGAGACGCACCTTTCGTAAAAAAAACCCAAATCGGTTGATTTTTACGGAAGTTACAGGCATTTGAAGATAAAACTTGCAAAAAAACATAGCTGCCCACA